TTTAGTAGAGACGGGGTTTCACCATGTTGACCAGGATGGTCTCGATCTCTTGACCTCATGATCCACCCGCCTTGGCCTCCCAAAGTGCTGGGATTACAGGCATGAGCCACCGCACCCAGCCCTAAATTAATATTCTTAAACTACCCTTAAACGTGTTTCTGATAAACATGAAAATAATTTAGTGTGTGCCTGATGGATTATTTCAAATTGTTCTCAACCCGTTTTGGAATAAGAATTTGTATTAATATATAAAGTCGAGTTTTAGAATGTGGTCCAGAAAGGGTTGTGTTACCGAGGGATAAATTAAAGGCCGAGAGGCCTGGTTTTATTTTGGTAGTATATACTTTATGAAGGAATATAGTATGCTTATAGCTGTTCTGGCGGGATGGGGGGGATAGGTCAGCTGTATATGCTCTTTGCTGATTACTCAGGCTACGTGGTTATCAGATCAGTTACCTCTTACAATGTACACAGGGTTAAGTGCTAAAAGTTTTGGCATCCACTGGAGGTCTTGAAATGTGACCCTCATGAACTGTTATGCTGTTGTGTACTGCATAGCAGTTTATAGTTCTGAAACAGCATCCTTTCTTGAAGTAACTACATCTGCCACCATTCTCTCCCTAACCAAACCCCTCCTGCATCAGTTAAATGATGGCTTGTGAGTTCACACTACCAAGAGTGTTAACAGGCAAAAGACCTGAGGAAAATTTGGAATTTTACCAGGTTGAGACAAACTGAAGAGTAGTGAGACAAAGTGGTAGTTTGTTGATGTGCTCTAATGCTAATCACCAGTTTCATGAAAGGGAGAGACAGCAGACCCCTTGTTAGTAACTGCTGCCATGGGCAGTTGAATCAGACAAAAAAAATAATCATGGGAAAGGATAAATTTGAGTCTTGAAGTTCTTGCCTCAAGGCAAAGGGACCTGGAGGCTTTTACATGCCAGTACAAATAATCCATTGTTTATGGCTGTAGGTAAGGCTGAGACTATAAAAGCAAATGCAAAGTTCATTTGGAAGATTGCTAAGTTAAATAATTCATACTAGGCTCTTGTGAAACATTTCAGGAAATAAACAGGGTCCCAACAAGTGGAATAAGGCTGTGTCAAAAGATTTGTAGACCTGAGAGCAGTGGTTTCCAACCTCCCAGCCATGGATTGCTACCTGAGCTCCACCTTCTGTCAGATCAGCAACAGCATTAGATTCTCATAGCAAAACCCTATTGTAAAGTGTGCTTGTGAGGAATCTGGGTTGCACATTCTTTATGGAAGTCTAAACTACATGTTAGAGAGTGCTCAAGCTCAGAAATGTTTATTGTTAACCCTACATAAGGAATATATGCCTTAGGATAAAACTAATTTATAATAAAAGGAATAGCTCTTAGTCCTTTTATTCCATTGACTAGGATTCCAATTCTGCAAAGTCCAGGAGGGGAAACTGGGAATTAGAAGTTTCACCCTGAAAAAATAAAAGGATTTGATCTGCATTATCAAAATTCTGTGAAAATTTTGAGGGTGGCTTAGGCTGGGTTCTATTAGCAATGGTCACCCCAATTTTCCTTCAGCATGCCATCTCGGTGGTTTTTTATTTCATTGACCCTTGTAAGATTGGACTTGATACTAGTTGATGCCGAGTGTCATCAAAAAGCCAGAATGCTACTGCAATAATGTAAAGGATTGTTATGTATTATCTTTTACATACTTAAAGACTTAACAGTGACAAGGATACTGGATTGGTTCTATTCCAGTCACTCTGCCCCTTACTAGCAAGACGACAAAAATCTCTTCTCCCCATGAGTTACCAGTTTATGAAGCTAACACTATTTCAAGAGTTTTGCTTGACTGGGAAGAGGAGATGAATTGAAATGGGATCCCAGGTTAGTAGAGACTAGTAATCACTGTTTTTTGGTTTGTGGCAGCAGGAGAGAGGGGTGGTTTTTTAATTTCACTCTTGTTGCTCACACTGGAGTGTAATGGCACGATCTTGGCTCAGTGCAACCTCCATCTCCCAGGTCGAGCAATTCTCCTTCCTCAGCCTCCCAAGTAGCTGGGATTACAGGTTCCGGCCACCATGCCCACGTAATTGGTTTTGTATTTTTAGTAGAGACAGGGTTTCACCATGTTGGCCAGGCTGGTCTCGAACCCCTGACCTCCAGGTGATCACCTGCTTGGCCTCCCAAAGTGCTGAGATTACATATGTGAGCTACCTGTACCCGGTCAAGACCAGGTAATCACTGAACCCCTAGAAGCTGAAGTTGGCGGAGTTAATTATAGCAGCAAGGTACAAGGAGTGCGTGAAAGGATCTGAGACGAATTTCAAGCTGTAGTTAACTAGATACCAGTTCACAGAAAACTAGAAAGACGAGTCATTTGCTAAAGACAACCTGCAACCACTGCACTGTGTTGTAGAAAAGTACACTCCCAAACTTTACCCAGAAATAACAGTTGACCAACAACATGGTTTGAACTGTGTGGGTCTCCTTACAGGAATTTTCTTCTGCCTCTTACACCCCTGAGACAGCAAGACCAGAACCCCCAGCCCCTCAGCCTACTCAACATGGAGATGATGGAGGATGAAGACCTTTGTGATCCACTTTGATGTAAATATCTCAGGATTTTATTTGCTCTGGCTTACTTTACAAGAACACAGAGTGGCTCCATGTTTGGGTCCCCTTCTACGAACACTCACGTAGAAGCTGCTTTTTCTCTCCTAAACTCCATCTCTCTCTTGGTTCTCTTCCACTCAGTGTGGAAGTTGTCTTTCCTCGATTCCATCTTTCTGGATTCTCAGTGTGAGAGCTGTCTGTTTCTCCTCCTGTTTCTCTATAAATAAATCACTTTCTGCAAACAAATACATATAATACACAAATTTTGTTTTACCTGTGGTATTGGTAAGGGTTCTAACTAAGCTGTTTAGGGGGAGTCAAAAGTGTGCAGCTGGGTACAGAGAATTACATGAGAACAAGGAGTATAAGACCAAGAAACACTTGAGCTCATTGTCTTGGTCTGACAGATCAATATCTAATGATCTTTGTGGTTAAAGGGTTGGACCAGTAGGGTACTCGGATTGGTAACAAAGCAAAGGCAACCAACATCCTCAGCATGGTTATCCACTTGCTTAAGTTTAAACATTATTACCATAACTGAGCTCCAATGTAAAATACGCTTTGATGGAAATAATTGCAGTATTAAGTTTCCTGTGAAGGGGGACAGTAATTTGTTCTCATTTAAAATAACATTCTGAATTTGGTTTCTTGTCATTCTTGTATAGGACCTTACATACCTGTATTGTACCGTGTAACTTGGCTTCTGTACCAAAGTTTACCGGAGAAATAGAGCCATTACTATATAGATGTCAACTATACATATACCGGTTTTATTTTTGAGACGGTCTGGCTCTGCCCCAGGCTGGAGTGCAGTGGTGTGATCACAACTAAACTGCAGGCTTGAACTCCTGGGCTCAAGTGATCCTCCCATTTCAGCCTCCAAAGTAGCTGGAACTACAGGCCCAGCTAATTTTTTTTAAGAAATGGGGGTCTCACTGTGTTGCCCAGGCTGGTCTCTCAATCCTCCCACTTTGACCTCTGTAAAGTGCCGGGTTTACAGGTGTGAGCCACTGCACCTGGCCTACATACACTTTTAGATTCATGTTATGTTTATATTTTGAACATTTTAATATACTTTTAATATGCTTTGGAAAATCCATTTAGGAGAATTTCTTAGGTCCAGAGTATTTAGGAATTACCACATTAAGCTTTTGATTTGTGATTTTTATTACTAAAAGTATATAATCTATTCAATATAGGTTCTATATTTTTCTTAAGGAGTCTCACACTCTTTCGCCCAGGCTGTAGTAGTACAGTGGCGCGATCTCGGCTTGCTGCAACCTCTGCCTCCCAGGTTCAAGCAACTCTCCTGCCTCAGCCTCCCAAGTAGCTGTGACTATAGGTGCCTGCCACCATGCCTGGCTAATTTTTGTATTTTAGTAGACAGGGTTTCACCATGTTAGGCTGGTCTTGAACTCCTGACCTCAAGTGATCCACCTGCCTCAGCCTCCCAAACTGCTGGGATTACAGGCATGAGCCACCGCATCCAGCCAGGTTCTCTGTTTTTAAATCTTAAAATAGAATTAACTGCATCATCAGGTGTATTAACATTTTTTAAGGT